AATATTTTGAAGCAAATTCCAGATATACCATTTCAACTATACATATTTCATTATGTATTACTAAAAGATAAAGGCTCTTTAGAAAATAATTTCAGTAACATTATCACCCCTAAAAGAAATAATAATTTCCTTAAAAGCAAATATCTAATCAGTGTTCAAATTGCCAATCAGCATACAAATGCTATTTTTTGTTCCCAAGTTCATTTAAAGTGGCCTTTAACAAGATCAACAGCTGGGATTGGACGTTATATCCTGTGAGCCTCCGTTAATCTGTAAGCTCCCCGTCTGTCTCTTTTTCCCCCCGTGCAACCAACCCATTGAACAGCGTGGGTCATCTGTCTTGTACAGCTTCCCACAGTCCTCACTTGGCTGACACATCCCCACGGTGCTAACCTGCTTCCCAGTGCTCTGTATGTCCTTTAAATTGGCAGGTGGATCTACACATCTGCTCAGGTTTGTGCTTAATTTCTTTCATCAGGACTACTTCATAGGAGGTGCTGTATTCTTCCAACACAATGCTTGGGTGACTCTCCTTAATTTATTATTATTATTATTTTATATTCACAGTGATTGATGATCAATACTCAGATCCATTATTTCATCTGGAGTTACAAACAGTAATATTCTATCATAACTTCTTTATTTATTAGCTGAAATACTTCTATAAAAAGAAACTTCTCTCTCATCTACTATTTGGTTACCCAGTAATACCATTCATATAGGAAATGCAGGATGGATAGCTGACTCTCTAATTCTTTTATCAGTTTTCCAAATAACAAGTTGGCTCACTAGCACCTTTTACCTTGCTAGCTTGCTTATTTATGTATTATCATTGTGAACTCATGAACGTATTGCCATTATTATCCTTATTGACGTTCCATTTGTCCCTCTTGGGCCAGTGGGAACCTCATGTTGACTGCTGGGCGCTGTTGACACAACTCTGGTAATCTTTCATAGCTTCCTTATTTTCTGATATGACAGGATGATTCAAGATCATCTCACACATTTCCTGCCCAGACCTGAACTCAGCCATTTCTCCAAGGAGCCCCAATCCATACTAATGGGAAATGCTATTCCCATAGCACAGTCTGGGTATCAGGAAGGCTCAGCTAACTAGGTTGTGATTGGTAGCAGACCCTCGGTGAACACAGACAGGATATTCCCTTCCTTCCTCCTTCCTGTGAGCATGTGTGTGTGAAATAAAACGCATCAGGATTCACTATGATATGTCCTATTGAGGACGACGGGATTTTTATTTATTCTCCTCTAAATTATATGTGTACCCCTTTTCTTCTGTGTTAAGAATCCTGAGTCCTCAATGGCACCAGGAATAACAGAATTAGAATACCGTTATAATTCCTCATTTGCTTCATCTCATAATATCCACTCAACAATCTAAGATTAACGATACCGACATTACGAACAACAGTTTTAAGAGTTCTTGTTTGTTCCGCAGTTCTTTTTTTGCCATCTCTTTTCAGTTGTACAAATTACTATGTTTTACAGTTATTTGAAATAGTTACTCTGAGATGACTATGACATCAACTGGATATATATTTATGTGTAGTTGCATGATATCTTTTAAGACAATAATTATTGTTTAATTATTAATATTAAGAATTTTATTGAAAAATTAGAATTTGTTTTATAATTATATAAAATATAATATGGTTCCAACACCAAACATACAAAACATGTGACTATAAGTCTAGTTTCTAACTCATTTCTTCCATCCTATTCGCTCCCTTCCCCATAGGTATCTATTTTTTATGGTTATCCTATTTATTTCTTTAACATAAGAAGCTTTTATATAAATAGTCTTTCACTATGTGGTCTATTTTATTCACTTTCTCATTTTTTAAAGCACATTTTTGGGTATTTAGGAAAATTTATATTTTTGTTCTAAAAAGTATATTTATACTAATATTGTTGTCTAGTACTGCCCACAATTCCCCTTTTTTGTTGTTATGGTTTATTGGTTACCATCTATGAGCAATATTATTATTAGTTAGTCATCATTTCTTTGCCCTTCAGTTTAAGGGGATTATTCAAACACTGCTCAATACACTGGGCTCAAGAAAATTTTTCTCAAGTTTCATTTTTAGCTTCTTTTAAGTAGCTGCTATTTTGACCATAAGGACAACAATTCATTAATTCAGGGTTTCTCCATCAAGGCACTACTAATGTTTTGGGCTGGATAGTTCTTTGATGTCCGGTGCCTTGCAAGATGTTTAGTAGCATCCTTTTCGACCTTAATCGGATGCTCACAGTATCCTCCCACCTTCACCAGTTATGACAACCAAAAATACCTCCAGACGCTGTCAAAAGTCCCTTGCAGGAAAATATCACCCCTACTTGAGACCCACTGATTTAACTCAATCAGAGCTCTCTCTCTGTATGAACTACAAGAAAGCTCAAGGACAAATTAGTGGGAACTTCTAAGAAAGCATAAAGAAGATCTTATGACAAGAATCCTATTAAACGCATCTAGACTTTATCTTAATATCCAAACTTAATATTCACTGTTTTATTGAGAAAAATGAAATTGTACAATCATTGCTTAACAATGGGGACACATTCTGAGAAATACGTAGTTAGGCAATTCTGTCATCGTGTGAACATAACAGAGTGACTTACACAAACCTAAGTGGTACAGCCTACTACACACCTGGGCTCTATGGTACCAATCTTATGGGACCACTGTCATATATGTAGTCCATCCTTGATCAAAACGTTACTATGTGGTACATGACTATATACTTTTCTTAGCTTCCATCAACTTTTTAAGGAACAAAGGAGATGAGTGAATTCATTCATAGGAAAACTTGGAAAACATAGGAAAGTAATCGCTTTCTCCAAGATAAAAATTAGGAGTTTACCTGAAATCCTTTATTAACCATGCCCCTAATTAGAGTTGATTATTCCTTGATTGAGCAAATCTCTATATATTGTTGGCTTCTTTATTTCCAAATCTGCAAATAAGGAAGATCACTAAACATAAACACCTTGAATGACAAGGACTAGACCTTACTAACTCAACTCTGGACTCTTATCACCTAGCACCATGCCTGGCCAGCACAGACTAACTCTTGTTTTATGTTCAAATGAGTGGTATTAATACAGTAGGAAAAATCATCTTAACAGATAGATGACTCATAAGCATGGGCAACTTATACACAGTAACCAAACCTTGTATTTAGTAGATATTTAACAAGCACTTACCCAATGCCTGCCAGGGCCATAAAATCTAAAGAACCTTAGCATATAAAATTCAAAGCAAGAAAGTGGCATTTGCATATTCTCCCCTGGTGGCTGCAAGATAACACATATGCTTCAAATATAACTTCCTTTTCTCAATAAAAACAAGGTAAAAGAAGTATTTTGAATTGAAAACAGCAGTTAAATTTTAACACACAGGGCCAGCCAAATGTGGGTGGTGGTGTTTTAGAAATGTCGTTGAGTCCAGAGAAGTCAAAAGATAAAAATTGATGGGAAGTATACCATTCAAATTCTTCTTAACATAAAGACAGGATTGACCTTTCCTCCAACACTTTTTAAATGTGCAGCTCAATTAAAGGTGCATCTTGCTTTATAAAACACACAAATAAAAAACACTACAACAATAACCCAACAAAAGCTCTGTGCTTAATTATACACATTAGGGTATAATGACTCACATAAAGGCACTATTTTCCTAACATCAAGCACCTGAATACCTGTACCATTATTTAATGAAATGAAATTTAGGCACTCCACTTTTTATACACAGCTTCTTCCAAGCAGATAATCATTTAATGGACTTAATAAGCTAGTATATAATAAAAGAAAATAACATAACCTGTGTACCACCTACATATTACCTTGTATACCACACATGTATATGCCTCACCTTTTGAAAAACATTGCCCAAAATAAATCCAACATAAGATTTTTAAAATAGCATATGCACATAGTGATCAAATGTTATTTCCACAAAATTAGTTTAAAGTATATTTGTACACAAACGAATCTAAATCTCCTGGATATAAGGAAACGTTCAACTAAAACACCTTAGAGCAGCTATTCCACTGCAATCTTCCTAGGAAACATTTTTCATTGTGCCTAGCTCTCACTTGTGATTGTTTCTTGTCCATATGATAGGAAGCAATGTTAGGAAGTGGTTAACATTGTCTGCATCCATACGTCGTCCTCTAAGACATCACTTACATATCCTATCATGCAATGTGCCTTCTCAACTCTCTACATCTCTATATGGCATACTTTCCCTGTGGTTTCTGATGGAACATCAGATTTGTTAACTGTTAATCTGATGCTCTTTCCTTCTTCCATTCATATATATCTTCAAGGTACAGTAGAAGCAGAAGTGGTTTTTGAATATCTAGAAGCAAATTTTCAAAATGCTGTATATTGTTACCAATGTAAAAAGTGAGAATAAGGATGCACTTTATAAGAATAAACTATATATTCTAAATGTCATCTAGCTATATTCTATATATTACTTTTATATATCTTAAGTATATTATTACATATTATTACCTCTCTATATATGAAGATCTATTAAAGACTATCAGTGAAATCACACAGCTAAGGTTTCCACTTGAAAACTGAAATGTTTCTAAAAGATAAATGATTTTTAACTTACAAATTTCTTGAAATGGACCTTCTTGGTCTTAACAAGCCTCTTGATTATTTGCTCTGGCATTCAAACAAAATAAATGAAAAGAAAAATTCAGGTAATTTACCTTTAACTATTATCCTTATTTACCTTTAGTGAGCAATTAGAAGTCTACCAGTCTAAAGTAAAGAAAGCCCAATCTATTAAAATGTAAAGAATCTTGCCTCTCTCTCTTGCAAAAGACATTTGCCCAGGTTCTAAACATAATCAATTTTTTGATAAAAACAGATAATGAATTCCATTCACAGGAGCATGGCTGGGTTACCAACTTGACATCCCTGCAAATTAAGATGAAACGTGCAGTCAAGAAAGAACTGTCACTTACTCGCACGGAGCACTGAAGGTGTGACCTCAATCTCACTTGCTGCTTGATAAGGCTGAAAGGCGGAAACACTGTTGGTGCCAAGCTCACTGCCAAATATCTCCGGACTCTGGGTGCCCGTGGAGCTGGCACTGGTGCCATCACCTCCATGATGCGGATCTTGCTCATCAAACACTGCCACCAGCTAGAAATGAAAGGGACATTTGCATTTATAAACAAAGGCATTGAAACTACCACCAAAAACTTACACCACATTGGATATACCTCTACAGAGGAAAGATATTGCTATTTATGCACCCCAGACGTTATATTTTAGAAAGCAAAACTTCAGAAAAATGGTCTTGCCCTCATTTTGATGCTTTACTTTTACATTTCTAAGTTGTGCATTTCATAGTCAAAATTCTATGGATGAAAAATAATAAAACGGTTTTACATCACAGAATGCTAAGAGAATGAGGGTGGATTTAAATCTTGTTGCAAAGGACATATTAAGTGGAAAAGATATATATAGCATATACACATACGCTATTTATAGTATACATAGCAAAAGGTCTAAGGTTCCCCTCAGATAGGAAGAAACAGATATTAAAAACGATACATGTATCTGCTCATTTGTGCATAAGAACTATAGGAAAGATGAAAGAAACTAATAAGACTGGGTGCCCATAGGGAGTTAGTAGGAACAGGGTTGAAAGAAAGAGAGACCAGGAATAGATAATGGACATAATGGGGCAGCAACACTTTTCTGAACGTATTTTTCTGTAGCTCTGACCCTTAGAACCTTAATAATGATTCAAATACCTAAAACAGAAATAAATAATTGAAATCCACCAAGATGGTAAGAGGGAGCAAGTGTAGGAGAATCTAAAATGGAACACAAACAAATGAAACCACCCACTGAAGGGGTGGAGGAGAAGAAAAGGACGAGCCTAAGTCGCTCTGGAGAACTGTGTTTTCATGTTTAATGTAAGGCTAAAGACAAAAAGAATTCTCACAGACATTTCAAACTCTAGTTAGTAGACCTGTTTCTCACGGCGTATGGCTTAGCAATTCTCACACTACTACACACTCACACACACACCAGAAATGAATGAAAAAAAAAGATAATTGGATGAGAGCCAATATTCTCACTGTCAGAAATAAGTTACAAACAAGAAAAGGCTAGAATAAACTCTGTAGTGTTAGATTAGAATTAGAGGGGTCAATACGAACTCATGGTTTTTATGAGTAGGCAGGTATAGGTAGGTGGGCAGACAGCCAGATCAATAGTTTGGATGGATGTTAATGCATGTGTGGTATACAAACATATATTTCCTAGCTCTGTACACTGAGAGGTCCTAGAAGCAACGACACCCCAGGACCAATGAACACAAGTGCCCAGATCTTGGTTTCTAAAACCATTCTCCATAAATGAACTGGAGCTTCCTGGAAAAATGTTTAATTCCAGGATTGGAGGCAGGGAAAATACAAGATGAGCCTGGAATACCTTGTGATGCTAAAAAGGAAGGACGGACTCAAAAGTGATGGGGGCACATCAAAGGGAATCAGATGTCAACCTGAAGGAGCCTCCGAAGGCCACGGCTGGGACAACTTGTAAACAAAACAAATAATGATAGTCTCAAAAATAAACATCTGTGAGTCCATAATGATATAAATAAATAAAAGAAGAAATAAATTAACAGTGGAGAATGGATAGCTCTTCCTTACTGTAGCAATCTAATTATGGAAGGAATGATGGAAACAGAAATCATCATTAGGCAACCTCCATGGTCATGATTGTTGCCGGAAAGATCTGTCAATGAATGCTAAAATTAATGGGTAAGAATATGATGAGAAATGGGATATCTGCAAATCGCAAGGTATCTCCCCATAAGATACTCTTTACATAAAAAGAGAAAAATCTTATCTTTGCAGTGGAGAAACTCGGCCAACACCACTTTACCAAGGTTACCATCACGAGTAATAAGACACATCGACATCATGTACCCTCCGATAAAATGCACTGAGAAGCATACAACATTACCTCTGTGGTACTCCTGCCAAAAATGTATAACTTCCATCTAATCATGAGGAAACATCAGACAAATTCAAACTGAGAGACATTCTACAAAATAATTAATACTCTTTTAAAATGTCAAGGTCACAAAAGTAGAAAAAACAAATGATGAAATTGTGTAAATTGGAGGAGACTGAAGAGAAATAAGCACTACAGGCAAGGTAAGGTCCTCGACTAGATCCCAGGCTAAAAAGAGGACATTAGTGGAACAGAGGCAACATTCGATGACGTCTGTAGATTAGTTAATAGTACTGACTCAATGTTAGTTTCCTACTTTCTATAACCATTCTAGGGTTATATCAGACGTTAACATTAGAGGTAGATGGAACATTAACATTAGAGGTAGAGCTATATGGAAACATTCTGGGCTATTTTCACACTTTTCTGAAGTATAAAATTATTTCAAAATTTAAAAACTTCATAATATGGCATTACAAAGTACCATACAATTTAAAATTGAATTTATTTCTTTTTACAACTAAACAGTGGCAGCACTTCTTTAAAAACTCAAAGAGTGATAAAGTTCCAAGGAACAACACCCATTGGTCACATACCCTGCAATCCTAAGTCTTAGCATTCCAAGGAAAGAACCGTGACTATACCCAAAATGAACCACCTCTTCTGCCTCCAAACGAAGCTGCTGCTTCCTTTTTTTTTTGGGGGGGGGGGGGGGGAGGAAGACTGGCCCTGAGCTAACATCTGAGCCAATCTTCCTATATTTTGTATGTGGGACACTGCTACAGCATGGATTGATGAACAGTGTGTACGTCCACACCCGGGATCCAAACTGGCGAACCCCAGCCACTGAAGCAGAGTGTGCAAACTTAACCACTACGCCACCAGGCCAGCCCCCAAATTGAGCTTTTTCAATGCCAATACTCCTATCAGTCAAAGAACAGTAAGATAAATTTGCAAACTATGAGAACTATCTCATTACAATCCTCATTTCATACATGGTTTTGTCATTTTAAACAAATGCTATTTCCATGAACGTTTACATATTATCAGTCAACTCATAAGACAAAAAAGAAAACCATCATAAGGTCATAGAGACATGTAGACAAACAGGAAGCTCAAAACCCTGCTGTAGTGTCATATATAATTAGCTGATTAAACAATCTGGCGGGAGGTTAAGTGGTAAGAAGAAATCAAAGTAGGAAGAACAGTTGGGCCACTCAACCTTATAAGAAGCAACATAAGAGGGGAAAAGAAATCCTTAGCAGTTATAAAAAATGGAAAGGTGTTTGTATGTACACACTGAGGTTTCCATATACAGTAATAAAATCGGCCTATTTATCTAACATTGACTGGCAAGTATCTCCCTATATTAGTAACACAGACATTCTAATAGAGCAGAGCATGACTATGTTTAAATAAAACTTTATTTACAAAGCAGGTGGTGGGCTGCTTGGGCCATAGTCTGAAGACCCTGCACTAGTAGGGTAACCTTGCTCATGTCTCCAGTAATATTCAATTTTAAAATCTCAATTTGGGAAATAAAACAAAGTCAAGTTACTTCTGCAATCTTGATAAGCTAACCATATCCATTTCAGGCTCTTCATCAGGATTTTGAATTTCTATACTTGATTTTAATGTTATCAGACTTCTCACAAGGTATGTGGCTTAATATGCATTTTGAAGATATTAAGTTTTGACGTTTTGGCACTTAATTGGAAGCAAATGAAATTCAAGTTTTATTATTAACTTTTCACAATGATGCGTTCTCTCAAGAATCCAGTCCTTTCTCCAAATTGAAAATGGAGATTGAAAATTACAAAGTACAAGTCTTTAAACGCCACACATGATAGAAGAACTTATACATGTATATTAGTTTCAATAATTATCTCCAGCATTTGTAGAAAACACAAGTATTATGAAATCTGGACTGTGTCATGAACAAATGCTGTTTGAATTTCAGTGGCAGAATCACAGTTGGTGATTTGCAAAATGCCAGTAACATACAATTCTCCAGCTTTCTTTTAAACCAAAATCTAAGTGCCAGGTGCAGATATGAAGTAATTTTGTGTTAAATTGGGAAGGATATATAATTTTAGAAAATCTACTCTACAAGAATACATATAGTAACACAGTAGAGGAAAATGAGACCTTCACAAAAACATCACATATTAAAAATCTCTATCATGCCCTTCAAAAAATAAAGGAAATGTCTGCTTTTAAATTTGTGGAACGTGACTCGAATCCCTATTTTAACAGATGGAATCTTCACTGCTGTCCGTGAAGTACATCATTTTTGAAAGTTCATTTTTCCTTTCGACAGTTATTACTTAATCTCTCTTCTGATCCATTCATCTGTCAAGTTTCCATGAGAAAAGGTAGGCTGAATTTAGGATAATACCCATAATAACTCACATAAAACTAAACTCCAGACTTGACCGCACAGTTCCCATCTACCTTAGGACAAGTCATTTTAATTCTCGGAAACATCAGAACCCTCCAACAGAAAACGTGCTACCATCAACATCACACACATACGGGTATAAACCACTTGGACTGAGAGTGGCCCCTTGAATGGGTAAAATTTATGAGCTGAAAGCCCACAACTGCATGAAGCAAAGTAGTTAAAAAGCATAGAATTCACAATCAGGGAGACCTACGTTCAAAAACAGCTCTCATCTTACTTCTTGGATGGTTGTTGGTAAATCCACTGCCCTCTCTACCATTTCTAAACCTTACTTTCCTCATCTTGAAAAATAGGACAGCGGTTGTGGTAGGCAGAATAATCCCCATTGTTGTCCATGCCCAAACGCCCAGAACCTGGAGAGGTTAACCTTGCATGGCAAAAGGGACCTGAAGATGTGAGCCAGGTCAAGGACTCCCTATTTTAGGGAGATTATCCTGGGTTATCCAGTGGGTCCCAGATAAGCACGTGAATCTGGAAAAGTGCAGAAATTTTCATGTTGTGGTCAGAGAGATATGACAATGGTTAGAGAGGTGCTACACTGCTCGCTTTGCAGATGAAGAAAGGGAGCCAAGGATCACGGGGGCCTCCAGAAGACAAGAAAACAGATGCTCTCCTAGGGTCTCCAGAAAGGAACACAGCTCTGCCAACACCTTGATTTTAGCCCGGTGAGACCAATGTCAGACTTCTGCCCTATAGAACTGTAAGT